GTTTTTTATAGTTAACCAGAAAAAAATGCTTAAATTACTGTGAGCTGATGTGCTCAGAGCTGTTGTCTTTCAAAATATTCAGTGCTCGCTCGATGCAAATAACAAGAGGAGAAATTTCTGCCTTCCTCACACTTTTTTTTAAACTGTCTTTATTTCTTCAATTGCTTGCATAAACTACTGAAATCCTAATATACTTTTTATATTTTCCAAAATTATGATGTAGTTAATTAAGGGAGTTCAAAGTTTTTCTTAAGAACTCACTCCAGCTCATATACATAGTCTTGGTTATTTGTTTAGAAGATGAACATGTCAGAGCAGCCTTTGGTGCAAATTTTTGCATTTTTGCTCACAGTGGCAGCATGTGCAAAGAATTTCCATACAAATCCTATTGTTCTACATTTAAAATTAAAATTAAAAGTTATTAAAACAGACCCTAGAAAAACAGTCTATACCATACCCCAGACTTCCACTGCTTTTTCAGTTTCAGACTTTTTCAGTCTGGCATTGTAAAGTATTTTTCTTGAAGTAAAAGGAGCCTCTCCCTCAATTATAGTGGAAAATTTCTATCATTTTAAAGTTGCTTTTGAAGAACTTAATATAGAACTGTTTGTCATGTTTGTGCTCAAGGGGAGACTCAGTGCCATGAAGTCTCCGAGGGAAATTGGTCTTCTTAAGAACAGGAGAAAATGTCAGAAGAGGGAACACATAGATTTCAGCTAAATTTCAGCAAAAACAGTACAGTCTCTTTAAAACTCGTTCCTCATTAATCACAGTATTTTTTAAGGTCTAAACCAGGCAACCTGATATGATTGATTAGTATGTTTTATTCTACATATATGTTCTGAGCTAAATTACAAGCAAAAATGATTTGGCAGACAGCATGCTAATTGCCTTCAGGAATTTTCCTTATTCAGAAATTTTGAGGGGAGATTTTTTGGTAGAAAGCTTCATCTAAATGAGCAAATTTCACAATTTACTACTTCATAATGTTTTTTGAACATTGTGATGAAATCATGCCCGTGTCTGGAGCAATTTAGCAGCCTCTGGTCTAGACACTGTTGTCTTAACAGTAAGAGTTTATACAGCACCTGCTTCATCTTCTCTCTGGCCTAAACCAACATTATTATTCCCTTCTTTCCCATGCTTTAAAATCAATCATTTTAAGAGCTGGAAGAAATAATGGCAACCCTTTAATAAGGCCTTGCATTTATTTGGCTGGAAATGAAGATTAAGGTTCTTTTCCGTAAGGAAATAGTGAAAATGGTGTGAAGATGCAGTGAACCTAGATCTTCATGCAAACCAATAACAGGAGATATACGGACTGCCTTCAGAATAGCCCATTTCCAAACCAGTATCTTGCACAAATGAGCTCACAAGGGGAAGGCTCAAATCCAAACAAGCCTTAATTATGAGTGTCTGCGAGGAGGACTGGCTCTTTGGAGAGGCTGAGATGACCTGTAGTATTGATTGATTCAAGAAAAAATACAGAGGGATTTTAAGCAGGCTGTTTTGGAGGAGAAGCAAGGGTGTAGCTATGGAGAACTATAGCTTATCAGCAATAACATACCTCCTAGAAGGAGCTGACTGGCATGAGATCCCATTTATGCAGCACTTGGAAAATGGTCGAGTGCTCCTGGGATATAGGTGTGCATTTGGTCTGACTCCCTTAAGGGATTTTTACCAAGGAGAGCTAAAGGTCCAGAATAGTGTGAGAGAATTGGAAACGTGCTTGATAGCTGCTCTCCAAACAGATTTTTCAGTTTGAGGATCACTAAGAGCTTTCCTGGGGAGAACGGTAGAGGGTTGTGGCCATCGTGCCTGGAGCAGCTGTGTAGACAACTCCTCCTCCTCTCTCATAATGGGTTTGTAAAGGGGTTGATTGGGGCTGGCAGGGAGGGAGTCCACGTGTGTTCCACCTCAGACCATGCACCCAGCATAGCCCAAGTAACCCTATGGGAATCGAGTCTTTCACGGTAAAGTTCACAAGTAGGTGAACTCCATTTTCATGCCACCTTCAGGCTTCCTGACAGCGCGATCTCCCCTGGCCACTGCTAATACAGCCTATCTCCAGATCATTCCTGCAGTTTCTCTGAAGCCTGCTAGATCAGGCTTGGAAAGGGTGGATGTCTTCTCAAGCCCTTTGCACATAACGCTGAAGTTTCCTGCAGGTGAGGGAGTGAATGTTGTTATTCTAGGGAAGAGGAGTCTCTTCGGAAGAAATGAGGAGCAAGCCAAAATCTACCAAGAGGAAAATGTCCATCTCTCAGGAGTGTTTGTGGGGGGAAACTAGGATCTTAGACTACATTCATAGCCTGTGGTAGAAAAGAATGAATCACAGCATGAGGATGGATTGCCTGCCTTCAGTGGTCTACATCATAACCTGGATGTGCATGCTGTTACGTGCTAAATATAGAGGCAGTTTATGGTAATTAGGTTTGTAAATCAGGCACCTCCAGACAATATGCAATTCCATTGGTCAGCCTTTCTATCCACATATTTATCAAAAGGTTTCAAGGCGAACAAACAAGATTTTGCTACAAAAGAAGTTTCCCAGCCATTCTGAACAACTTAAGAAGGAACTCAAGAGATGCAATTCTATTTTTCCTCAGCCATGCCAGAGAAAGGGAAGATGACTTTGGTTTTTTGTCTGCAGCAGAGCTCCTTGCTGGTAGATAGAATGGAGTACTTTTCTTTCTGCCTTATCAGCTACCAAAGCTGGTTTATGCAGCATTTCTCATTGCGTTAGAGTTTTCCTCTTCTAAAAGATGATGCAGTGAGCAGAACTGACAGGACTTGTCTGGGCTCTGGTTTGAATTATTGGCTGTAATTGGTATGTCTATCCCTTAGCTCCACCTGTGTTATCTGAAGCATTACAGGTTTGATTTCTTACAATTTGTATAATCTGTTTATTTAGGGATGATATTTCCCCCTCCATTTGTAAGATCTTGCTCCTCTTCTCACCATGGGTAAAAAACCCCAAGAACCAGATAATTTGTTTGACAAATAGTGAAGTATCTTTTTTCCTCCCATAGGAGGTTTTGATTTGATTCACTATTTTTCTCTCTTCCTCCTGCGCTCAGAGGTTACTCTCTGTTAAGATAATCAAGATGGCTAACCAAAGAAATTGAGTCTTAGCAGGAATAGCTGACTTGAAACTTAAGTAGCTAATGCATACAAGCTTGAAAAGATCCAAAAGAAGATGTATGGCTATTATTCTTACTGGAATGGGAATTTTGTGGCTGCTATTAGTAGAATTTCAGTATGAGACTTATATGTTCTCTTATCCATACCTTACAAAAATGACTTTAGGGTACCTGCAAAGACACCTTCTGGTTAAAAACTGTGAGAAGAAGATAGAATTTTACTCCACCAGCAGCAGTTGTGGGTGGCACTTTGCCTATAGAGACAAAGGCTGTGTGGGCACCCTGCAGTAAGCTCAGACTTGAAGGGTCACTGCCTCAGCAAACCACTCGTGCCCCTCCACGTTCCTAATGGATCCCCTCTGCATTAAACCTGTCATCTTAAGCACTTTAATTTTAATCAGGTCCATGGACCTCTTCCCGGAGGCCTTGCAGACATTATGGGTTATGGTTTATAACCACTGATACACACCTAGCAGGAGAGCAGAAGTTGCTGTTCCAACTGCAGGAATTACGGAAGAGGGAAACTGGAGGCATTGGTGTCCTCATCTAGGGTCTGCTCTGATTCTAGCTGGCCTTTCAACAGGAGTTCACAGGAAAAGCTAGCTTTTTCACATTGGAAAGACTACCCAAAATCAATTTCTAAACATTCCTCTTTCTACTGTCTTTGGACTTGCCACAACAGCCCCCGTGCCGTGGGAACGTGCAGCCAAGGGAGTTCTTGCCTGAAAGGGCAGAGCTGGAGTGTAGCTGTGGTACAGCACCAGGTCACAAAGCAGGCAATAAAGAGAATTCAGTTAGTTAGTGTCTAATTATGGCATTCAGTTTTGTTCTGTTTTGAAAGTACGGTCTGGAAAACATTGAAGAAATAAAAAACAATGAAGAAATACACTCTGTACAAGGAGAGAAGGCCTTTTGCTTAAAGGCTAGGGAGGCTTTGGCTCTTTTCTCTGGTTTTGGGTGATGTTGGCCTCAAATTGCCTTGTTATTCCTATCTGTAGACCAGTGATGATAATAACCTTGCTTTTTAAAGCAGTTTGAGATCTGCTAATGAGGCGTACTGTATACAGGCTATATTAGTGTTCTTGTTTGTAGAATATTACTATACACAGAGTTGTAGCAGTGTGACTTCAGAACATGTAATGTAATTATTTGTGCTGAGTATAAATACAGTCAAGGCAATGCTCTCTGTATTGTGATAAAATGACATTATGCTGCTCTGAGATTTACCAAAAAAATCTCCTTTTTCTATATTGCATTTGCTATGTCTCACTGATGTTCTGCTACAAAATGAAGGTAATGGATGAAAGAACAAGAAAAGCATTTTGATTTTATTTTCTAAAGAAATGGAGATATTTGGTATTAATAGGAGCTTTTCCCTTTGAAGCCAGGTTGCACATCAGTTGTTACGCAGTTGCTAAACTTTTCTGCTGTTATGTTCAAAGGAAAATTATTAGGCAGAAAAGCCATGCGGTGAAGAAGAGGAAATTATATTTTTCTTCTGGCAGTATGATTCAAAAATATAATTATTGTTTATCCTTTGTGGACATCACCAGTGTTGATAAATACAATTACTTTGTTTACCATCCCTTGACTAATTCTTAAGGCTTAGGCAAGTCAACAGTGGAACTAATGTGTTTAAACAGAAATTGTCAGTTAAATACTTGATCTTACCAATGCTTGCTAGTGGTATAGTGCTTACCTGATGGTAAAAAAATCTACCGAAATCTGGCACTAAATATTAGATTATTCCAGCTGAAAGACACCTTACGAGGTCATGGTGGATTTCCAAAGCACACGTGCACCAGCTTAAATAAGGACATTTCTGAAGCTGAAATCTTATTTTTCTCTTTTTTGCAGAGATCCCCAGAATTTGTATCCCCCTGAGGTCAGCAATGCAAAGCTTCAGTATGCTGGTTGGGGTCCAAAAGGGCAACAGCTGGTAAGAGAAAGAACAAGTGTGCAAATGAATTTCGAGACCATGCTGCTATTGTTTGGAATTAAAGAAAGAATAATTCTTTATGGACTAGTTTGTTGAAGCCTGTGAGATAGCTTATAGCATCTTTATGGGGATTGTTTTATCATGTAATTTATTTATAAAATTCCGAAATATATACTTGAATATATATACATATATAGACACACACACACACACATATATATATACATTTACTGCAAAGTAATTATGTCTGAAAATGCAGAGAAAGAACACTTTTATGGAAGCCCTTTGAGAGGATGCACCTGCTTCTCTCAATGTTGGACACAGGACAGATTATAGGCATAATAGTCAGTATGATTTAGTTACCATATCATTGCTTCACAAGGGCATCTTCCGACTTGCAAACTTGGCACTAGGGATATTTTAATATTAGCAGCCCTGATTGGAAAATGCAGCTCTCTAGAATAGAGTTGCCCTGAATTTGCCCTGTAGTTATTGGCAAAATAGACAAAAGTAGAAGTGTATTCTGGAAAGTTTTCAGAGCTGGCTTTTAAAAAAAACACTTGTCAGGGATTCATTGTGTTTCATGGAGCCTCTCATACTGCAGCAATCCTGAAATCTCCAGTGTTTTGTCCCTCAGCCACTGCTATGTTAGATTTGCCCGGTTTTTAGAGCACATATTTCCTGGCCAGATCCTCTGGCTTCATTTCCTGGTGCAGATCCAATATTAAGGTTTTGCATATTCCAAACACTCTTTTACTACTGTAACAAGAAGAGAAAAAGTGGCAACTTCTTTTTTGATATAGAATTTTTATACCAAGAAATGAGCTTTAAAAGCTCATTATCCAAGAAAATCTGGCATATGTCTTTTGTCCCCAGTCCTCTCTTGGATTTTTTTTTTTGTCTGTGTTCTTAACTAGATTATTTTCAAATTTTGTCATTTAAATAACAGCAATAGGAGACATTATAATTGGCAGTCTGCAAATCAGGTTGGAGGAAACATAACGGATACAGGAACAGGAAAGTCTCTCCTCTGCTCTATCAGGAAAAACAAGTTTGAGAGAGTCCTCAACCTCGAATCTGATAGGAGTAGAGATCCAGCCACCTTTTCCTCTATGCAAAATGACTTCTTAGGAGCTCATCTTTTTCACTGTGCACATGAACGTTGCCTACTTTCATCCTCTGACATGTGCTATTTCAAATTCCTTAGTCTGCTGCCCAACAGGTCACCCTGAGCAGTTTATACCCATTCACGGACACTGGGGTCTGATCATGACCAAACTCTTTCATGTTCATCGATGAAGACCAATGTGATCTCGTCATCAGGCTTCTGGCAAAAACAGACCAGCAATTTTTTGTTCACTGTTCACTAGTTCTTTCTATTTTAAGTCTAGCAAACTGAGCTTCACAGTGTATAGTGAAGGCTACATCTGTTAATTGAAAGCTAATATTAAGTTGTATTAGTGATTTTCTCCATTTCACAAGTGAATTTTGCTTTCTTTAGTTTAGTTTTGCTGCAAACTTGCATGCCTTCAGCACCTTGAGTCACAGCATGTTATTGATTCACATTAATGTTAGTTTTACCAAGCTGCATGGGTGTACTTAACTTCCACCTTGGAAAGAAGATTTAACTTTTTTCATACCAAAGTCAAGACGACCAATTATTCCCTCCATTGTCTTCTCTACCAAAGTAACATAACTGTACAGAAAGGAAAAATATTCCTATCAAAATGGACAAATTATATATACAACAGGACAGTATATACAGTCCAGGAAAAGAAAAGTCGTCATTATTCCCAGCTTTATCCTTTCATGTTGAAATAGTTGATACCACTTTCCACCAAATTTTTATGAAGAAATATACAGTGAAAGCTTAATTCCCTAAGAACTCCATAAAACATCAAGTTTAGTACATGTCCATTTTGTGGGACATATGGCAGATTTTTTTTAAAGTACCTTACTATTGAATTCCATAAGAATCTTGGAAATACCTTGCAACAATGGATTTGTTCTGTATGTTTCTTTTTTGCGGGGGGGAGGGTGGTGTCCAAATATGTAAATCTGTTGGCCTGTAATTCAGCTGTATTCCCTGTTCTTTGGTTTGGAGTCAAGGTAGGTGAAGAGAACACCACTGGTAGTTTAAGCATTATCTTGCATACCTCTAACATATGTGCCTTTTTGCTCTTTGCTTGCCACTCATTTACCTTAAAATAAAATTGTAGCTGTAGTTTATAAAATAAGCAGGCTTTTACATGCATTGATATAATCTATTTATAGCTAATGATCAGCAAAGAATTGCCAGAGAAAAAGGAACCTTTTTTAAAAAAAAAATCTACAAATATTATAAATGAGATGACAGAGAAAATATAAAATGCTCCCTGTTCTGTATTTCAGGACTAACTGAGTTACTCCAAGTGTAATTGGCAGTGAAATTCATGTCTCCTCCTGTGGGGACAACATCGAGTGCAAAGGCAGAGAAAAATTAAAGTCTATTTCAACTTGATAGTGTGAATATGTTTGCTAAATGTACAGTGGGTTGTGTTGCAGAAGGAGGGAAAAAATGTCAAATGGGATGGAACGGAGTAACTTGCTGGGAACTACATGTCAAGTCCCCTGGGTCTAGGTGGTTACAAGGCCAAACGTATGTTAGAGTGTTTGAGGGTGGTCCTACAACTGCATTAAGGTACCCGAGCGTGTGCCAGCTCCGGTGCTGCTCACGGCAGCATCCCTCTGTGCACAGTCTGCAACCCAACTTCACGCCGCATCTCCCAGGAAAGGTAGGAGCAAAGGGTGGGTGGGTTTTGCATCACCTTGAAGATATCCCAATTTTCAGGAAGTAAAAAGCTTTCCCCTTGAAATCTCCTGATTTGATCTTCTTTGGCAACACAAAGGAGAGGCAGGGCAGGAGAGGGGTTGGTTCTGAAATTTTTTATTCCCTTTGT